TGGTTCCAGCTACTTGGAAGGCTGAGGTGGAAGGATCACCTGAGCCCAGCAGGTCGAGGCTGCAGTGGCCATGAGCATGCCACTGCACTCCAGCCTGGGTGACAGAGTGAGACACCAACTCAAAAAAAAACAAAAACAAAAAAAACAAACTTGGGCACGGTGGCTCACACCTGTAATCCCAACATTTGGGAGGCCCAACACTTTGGGAGGCGGGCAGATTGCTTAAGCCCAGGGGTTTGAGACCAGCTGGGCAACATAGCAAATCCACATCTCCACCAAAAAAGAAAAAGAAAATTAGCCCAACGTGATGGCATGTACCTGTAGCTCCAGTTACCTGGGAGGCTGAGGCAAGAGGATTGCTTGAGTCCAGAATTTGGAGGCTGTGGTGAGCCATGACTGCGCCAATGCACTCTAGCTTGGGCAACAGAGTGAGAACCTGACAAAAGAAGAAAAAAAAAGCCTTTCACTTCCCCCAAGAGGTTGTTTCCCTAAAATATAACAAAATGGTCACATTGGTCTTCCATCTCCCACTCTTGGTTCCTGCCTCTCAGAAAATGCCCCATTCTCCCAGCCCAGGCCCTAACATCCCACCTCAACCTCTGTTTGTCACTGTATATAGTTAGTATCATTTACAGGGACTCTTGCTGTACTGTTGAGGCTCTCAGCTCTCTTTGTTTATCTAATGGTGTCCTGTGATGACACCTCACAAGATCACTGTGATGCTAGCATTACATTAATTGAGTTCATGCTTCTAGTACCTCCCACTCGTCTGGCATATGGTGGGGGCTCAGTAAAGAAATATATTCCTTTCCTATCTCCTTTCCCTACACTATCTAGAGCACCTAGAGCAAATGTCAGACTGTTGAGCAGAGACTCTATGAAAGGATATTTCTTGGTGAAAGAAAGGTCTCCTATGAGAGGAAAAATAGGATATGTTGGCTAAGATTCCAGCTCCCTCCTGCCCTGTCCACGGTGCCTATGCTTTTTCTCAGGCATCTCTTGTCTCCTTTTGCTGCTTCATTGACAGAAAATTGTGTCTGGGGGCCACACCACAGAGCTGCCTTATGAATTCCTTCTGCCCTGTCTGTGCATAGAGGTGAGTAGAGGAAAAGATGTCCATGGCTCCACTCCTGGGTCCTCCAGTAGTATAGTTGGTCAAGCATAGCTCCAGAAAGTCAAGTATGAAAAGGATTGAGTGTTACCAAGATACCTAGGAAGGCTGACACCAGCTTGTCTGTGAGCCATACTCTGGGTCAGCAGTGGAAGGGTCCTGCTAAGCATGGGATCTTCTTAGGGCAATTCCAACCTCTACCCTATCCAAACCCTGCTTTCCCTGGCACAGACCTGGCCTCAGTCCACAAACCAAGAATTGACAGCTGCCATCACTGTGTGTTCTGGGGAGTGAAGGCAGGGCATATATGTTCCCAAAAGTCTTGTCCCCTCTTGGCCTCTGTGGCAGGCCTCCTCCTCTTCTTACAAATCTGAAGCACCTTGGCTAGGCTTGGAGACTCAGCACTTTGGGAGGCTGAAGCGAGTATATTGCTTGAGCCTGTGAGTTCGAGACCAGCTGGGCAACTTGGTGAGACCTCGTCTCTATAGTAAATAAAAAATTGAGCCAGGCTCGGTGGCTCAGCCTGTAATCCCACGCCTTTGGGAGGCTGAGGTGAGTGGATTGCCTGAGCCCGCGGGTTCGAGAC